ATACTGAAATCTCACAGGGCATGGAGGTGTATTTTTCCAAAGTCGAGATTACAGGCTGGAAAGTGAGCTTTAAAAGACAGAAATTTGCAGCACTCTGCCAAGTAATCATTAATCTATTGACAATGATCCCATCAACCCCAGTACCCACCCCCTCCTTCTGGCATTTACTTTGTATTTTTGTTCTGTCCTCCAGCAATAATTGACACTCTTACCTGCATCTACAGTTTGTTGCTCACTAGTTTTCTCTGAGGCAGCTATTGATTCTGGAGCATCAGATCCATGAAGACAGTGATGATGAACAATGAACAGACAGCTGCATCCTCTGTGATCTGGGCCAAAACTAATGGCCTTTGTAAGCATGCAATGCTTCATCTGGTGGATAATATGAGAGAAAAGACAGACACAATGTGTGAATTTTCTGAGTCGCTTAGTTCATGGCCTTGTCTGCTTTTCATGCTGTTGGCTACATACCCTTCACAAATGACTGGGACTGTAATGACTTAGATTTAAAGAAAGAGTTGTTCTGTGTGAGAAATGGAGTCATCTGTCTGCATTTAACCATAAAACATACAGTGCTGGAGATAATGAGTCGGCATTGTTTCCATTCAGTTTCCACTGTAAGCATTATGTAAAACTTGTGTGTGACAACATATAAAATAAATTTAGTAAATTCCATTACAAAATACAAGTAATGTACAATGTGTAGAGACTGATTTATTAATGTAACCTACAGCTAATTAATTCAAACTACAGTGTATCAAAAAGCTAAAGAGAGAACAAAATGAAGTTTAATTTCATGTTTTTAAGATGTTTATATTATACTTAGTATCTATCAGATTATGTTTCTGATTTTCTCCAGCCAATTTCAGGATAATCTCAGAGTGAGTGAGCCTCCTTTTACATAATGAAAGGTTTATATGAGCTGAAGAACAATTTTCAAGAAGTAAAATGAAGATTAGGACACAATGAAACTCATTCTTCACAGATACTCTATAGTCTCAGACAACATGCTCCTGTTTGTGTCTTGTCTCCATCCTCTCAAAAAATAGTCCAAGAGCCAGTTTCACACGTGAAACCGTCTGCGTTCTTGGCTGTAGACTATTTGCCATTCCTAGAAGGTCATTTGGTTAATACACATTTGAGTTTTCATGGACTCTTAACTAGTTTTTAATCAGCAATTATTACTGAATTGGAAGGCTGTGCAGACGCATGACTCTGTGGTGGCGGAGAGTGCCCATCAATGTCACGTCAATTTCCATGCCAAAGGCTACATTAGGCTTGGAGTCTGGGAGGAAACGGCCACCTGAGAGCCTCATCTCCCCATCCACAGCAGTCTTCCCATCAACTGTTGACTCTATTACACAGCTCTGTCAAAAAAATTTTCCGCTTCAAAAGAGGAGCAACCATTACATGGCTGTGCAGGGAGATAATTTAGTGATGCACATAAAATTAAGTGCATATCCATTGAACATTGCTCATTATTGCACTTGAATTCTTACAATACTGAGCTTGTGTGAGGATCCTGGATGCTTCGCAACTTTTTACTCCATTCCCATTTTCATGGTATAAACACAGCTTGATTATTTCAACTGATGTTCAATATAAATAGCTGTCATTTTCATCTATATCTAACCTACCTGTAATTGGCAATTAAACATGCCAGCATCTCAGACTAGCTCTTAATTACCGTTAATAAATGCTGAGAGGCCCTGAGGTCCCCCCTGTCCTCCCAGGCTGAGGATGAGTCTCCTGCAGCACCACATCACAGCATGAATATGCATGGGAACCAGGTATTCTTCAGCTTTTCTCCTCTGCTTTTCAGGCTGATGCGCGCGGAGGTGGCAGCAGACCGCCTGTTGAACTACCACTTCTTCATTACACCTCCATGGTGGCCAGAGCAGTTGTTGCCATGCTGCATCCTCGTAGTGGCATTTCTGCACACTGTGGCTTGTTTTGTGTTTGCCAGGAGCTGTCACATTCAGCCTGTTAGTACTGGCCCATGGGAAATTTACACAGAGCCGCTGGTATGAGCTGAGGCCATCAAATGAGCTGGTGACACGCTGCTCTGCGCACACATATTTGGTAAAGTTTATGTCTATGTGTGTCACTGTATGTATGCTGCCAGTCAAAAGTTTGGTATGTCTCGAGTTTGAGCTTTGTTTTTGTGGACAAATGTAAAATTTTTACAGTGTTCCAGAAATATAGAAAAGTGTAAGAAAGGAGCCAGTTTAATATGAGCAATTAATGTTTATGATCTTTAACTATTAGTAGGTTGAAGCAGACTATATATATGTATTAATATAGGTGACACACTCTCATAATATTACTCACAATATTTTAACTTTCAAACTTAATAACAGTTTCCTTTCCTCTGTTGTGCTCTGACATTTCCTGTATCTCCCATGATGACTGCTGATTGTCTTGCAGTGTTCCACCAAAAACCTGAATCCCTGTGTTTAAGGGCCCCTATGTGCCAAGCTCTCTGATCATAATGACACCTGCCTTTAATTACAGCCTAATTAAAGGCAGGTGGTCTGGAAAGGGCAGCCAGTTAGGCCTGCAAGATAAAAACACAGACAACGCCAGCATCTACTGTTTGATAAATTTGTCTGCTAATTATAGCGACCGTTGACAAACTCCAGTCAGTTCTGCTTTAGGTTATTTCTAATAATATCAAGTCACACACACATTTATGCTTTTATATTTTCCTACTTTAAATGCTTACAATAATTCTAGATCTATACTCTTTAGGATAAAACAACTATATTTTCTAATTGCATTGCTAATTTAGAGCCAATTCAAAATTGAAATTTAAAAAGAAAAATGCAAAAATACTTAGCATCACAAACCCCATCCGATGGCGGGCTGTATTGTACTGTATTTGATCTGTTTATACACACAAGTATGTATGTACGTACCTTATCAATCTGCACACTGGTCTGTCAGAGAAAGCAATGACAATCAAAAGCAGCTTCTTTAAAAGTGAAACAACAGTCCAGACTGTCAGGTGAATTATTATTGTACCCATTACACAAACACAAAATACAAAAATGACTGCAGAGTGAGCCATATTTCTAGTCCCTCAGCTCTGAAAAACCAAGCTGGGAATAGTATTGATCTCAGTGAGAATTACAGATCACCCTGTCTGAATGAGTGATGAAGCTGTCAGGCTGCTGATCTCAAATGACAAGCGCCCACAGTGAAACTCTTGATCCCTGAATTTTAATGCATCATTAACAATATGTTAACCAATCCTAATCTATCACAGTAAACATATAGACAAATATAATTTGAATCTCATGGAGAATACAGGGCAAGATGTATTGTAAAGTCAACTGGAACAATCCAGCTGTCAAGACCTGGCATGATTTATTTGGAAAACGGTCATTGTTTAGGTTGGGTAGCAGAAATGTCTTTTTTTTTGGTTCACTGTTGTAGTTCACCTCAGAAACTGACTGGTGTGTGACATGAAATTCTCCATCTCCATAGCAGAGCTAATCCGACTGTGACAAACACATCAGACCTTCATATTTTAGTGTCTGTGTCTAAGGGTCTAAAAGTTCTGTCATGCAGCAGCCTGTTTGCTCATCGCATCCTGAGCCGTTTACACACTGAGACTCAGCTAATATTGATGCTCCTCATGTGATACTGCTGATGAAAAATAAAGTACTGGTGAAAGTGCAGCAGCTTCTCCAGCACTGGGAGAGACCACTGAGGGGCAGCAAAATTACATGCCACTGCTTGTTTGTTCACTGTTTTCCCCAAATGCATCTTTGTACTCTGACTCTATTAATCCTGCTGACTTATGAGTGATGTTGAAGGATCCCGGTGCTGACATGCTGACTGTGTGGTTGAGTGAAAGTGTGGAATGAAAAGCCTTGTTTGTATTAAACAGAAAATACACATAACAGTCCTGTCCAGCAAGTCTGGTTATGGGATGTCAGCAAGATGCTAAACAGTATGGAAAGTGAATGTCTCTTTGATGTGATGGTTCACTACATAGTGCAGATCCACATTATACTGAAATACGACCGGATACAATCGGATCAAATCTTTTTCCATTTTTAAAGATATAAAAAAATGAAAATACAACAAAACAGTGAAAACACATAATATAACAATTCAGTTTATTTATTTTCCAGACAGACACATCAATTTCTGGACCACAGTAGAGGATGGAAACCTTTCACAGACATTTTTTTGTCAATATTATTATTTGAAAATACAAATATAAAATTAGACTTTCCACATTTGATATGTGAGAGACCCCCATCCATTATTATTATTTTTAGTATATTTTACAACAGGGCTTAAGCAAGCCATATGATAACCTGAAAGATGCTTTCAGATGTCAGTCAAGTCTGTCTGTCTCTCGCCATAAAAAGTTGGTGAACATAAAAAAAGGGGCAAGTGTTAGGAATGGACAGACAGCAGTGAAGAGAGCTCTGTGCTCAGCCTGCAGAAACATGGAAGCCCAGCAGAGCCTCGCACTGCCGTCCGTGCTGTCTGGAGAGCTTCCAGGCTGCCCTCCGAACTCGACAGCAGGGGTGAGCTCTCTCGTGTTGGTGAACAGAAGCTAATAGTGACGATTTGACTATTATGAACCTGTGTGTAGCTGTGTGAGGAATATTCTGTATACAGCTGAGGTCTCCAGTCAATATAGTTCAAATGAGTGAG